CGCAAAACAGCGTCCATATACACCAAACAGAAAGCATACACTCCTCCGACTCCTCCACTTAAGACTATTATCGGTGAACAGAGTACTGGAGGTTTGTGTGTGTCTTATGTTTTAGGAAATCCATCCTGTAGAATGGGATGACCAACCTTGGCGCTCTATGAAATGCCAAACCACGTAAAACCATAAAATGAGGTGAGTCCGGTGAGTCCATGAAGTGGCCAAATCAAGTTCAATAGTGGATCAAGTCTATGGAATGGCCCAGGCCAAATGAGCTTCTCTGTAAAAAGGAGTTCCATATGTCTTATCTTCTACGACATAGGATGACCTATTTGAACATGACCTATTTAATACAGAATGCAATTTTCTGCTTTTGTCCTTTTTTCATCCAAGGTGCCACTATCAAATGGTCCGGGAATGGCATTCTATAGATGCCAATGCTCGGCATTCGTTCAGGAGCGGAAGTTCTATAGATCAAAACTGCAAACAAAAGCCAAGCAGAGGAAAATAAATAATATATAATTATATATATATATATCAATATACACATGGATTATATATATATATGGGTCATATTATATGGGTGATATATGTCTTCTTTCTCGAGCTTTGATGAGGATCAAGAATTGAATTTCCTTATTTGGTTTGCCTTTCTGAAATCGGTGACTTTCCCCAAGCCCAAGAACACCTGGTAAGTTCGACAAACCACAATGGTCTGTTTGAGGGTCTGGTTTAGAGCCAGCCATCCATACAGCTCCAGTGCATTGGCTATAGGGTTTCTTACAAGCGGTTTCTTCATTCGGTGGTGCAGGATGGCCTTTGCAACAGTCTTGAAATGTCTTAAGCACGCCACACCGCCACTCGCCCCGCTACTCGCACCGTGCCCACCTCCAGCAAATTCCGCTTCAGCACCCGCAGGGAGGCGTCCAGAAGCTCGCCGAAGGCCGGATCCGCCATGGCGGCGGGACCGCGGGGTCCAAGCGTCCGAGTTGGTATGGTTTGGTTGAAAGAACCGGGGCACTGTTTTCGAATGACAGATCCAAAAGCTGATGAAGAACTTATTTTTGAGTTGATTCGTGTGATTCAATCTTTGCCTTGATCTTTAAATTAAATGCCGCCTTTCGGCAAACACTAGCGCCAAAACGAGGTTAGACTGCCGACCAGCTGGAGCCTTGAGCCAAGCCACTGTTCCCAGCTTCATGGATGAGTTCACCCACCAAAGTCACATTGTTGGTTATATATGTAGTATATATAGCATATATTCTATAATATAAATCAAACCGGTGCTTTTTATCGTTTGGTTGTCTGGTGGGACCGACTTGAAAAGGATGTAGCCCCTGGGAAAGCTGGGCTGTTTTTGCTTGTTTGGAGTAGCAGGGTTCCCATGCCCTGGACTCAAAAGCTTGGAATCTGCCCTCAGACCCAGCAGGTTGGTAAAATAATCTGGGTTTTTGGAGGGACTACACGACATCATGTCCTCAATCGAAGTGTGAAGAACTTCTCGGATCATACAGGTGAGAATTCTAGACTCTAGCGACCAACATGACAAACAACATCTATACCATTGCTCCAATGCATGTTTACATGTATATATTGTTCTACACTTTTATAAATATGCTTCTATATGTCAACTAATGCATTGGGGTGGTATTCCCCTTCTGGCTTTGTCGCAGAAAAAGAAGGGTCTGGTCCGTGGTGTCTTGGGCGTAGTGCAGATTCCTCTTCAAGCTCTTCCGCTTGGCAGAAACTGGTGAAGAATCCCCTCAAAAATCAGGACATGCTTCACCAGCTTAGCAGCTTCACCAGCTTAGCAGCTTAGAATTCATTATAGTTATTTACCAGAATAATTAGAATTGTAATAGCAAACATTGTTACTACCAGCAAGGCACTTGTTACTAGCGATGCACTTGTTACTACTGCGCGCCCTGAAGGACCGAACGGATCCCATCCACCCGGCGCCGTTTTGGGATTCGACGGTCCCCGCCATTGAGCGGGGTGCTTCTGATAAGGCCAATGGGACAAAACACGTCTCCATTCGTTGGTCTTCCAGGCATCTCGAGGGATTTCTATCCAAGCAAAACCAGAAGGGGTCCTTCCTTGATATCTGTAAATACCAAAAAGAACCACCCTCTTCCCCAATGAAGCAGCATCGCTCACAAAAAAAAAACTGACAATGACGAGGCCAAACACTCCCTCTATTGCATTAAACTTAACCACATTCGCCTCAGGTCAACCACCCCAATGATTCCCAATTATGTGCCATGGAGTCTCTGGGAAGCAGTTCTCACCATAAAATGGCCGCTCTTGGCCCGAGTTCGGAGGCGGCTGAAGGGACCGAGTGCGGCTTGGTTCATGTCTTTTTTTGGGGGGCTCCAAATGGCTTCAAGCTTCAAGGTAGTGTCTTGAAATTGCTCCCCGAGCTGCCGAAGCTCGAAGCCACGTCTCACAGTCGCAAGGACGTGCGGCTGGAGTAAGTTGTTGCTTTCAGATCTGAAAACGGGAAGCACAGAACAAGGCTGGGAGAGATTCTGGGCAAGCAACGGCAACGATCATAATTAGACTCGGCTTTAAAAATCAAAGGCTTGCGCGATCTTGCGCCAGCACCACCCAAAGGGCCCAAAGGGCCCAAGGGGTGGTTTATAGGCCCCCCCCACTATGTTTGAACCAATCACCATCATTTGGGTGCTGCTGGTGATGACTATTTGGTCAAACTGGCGGAACCCAAAGGAGTTCGTTCTGCGAATGACATGCGAATTATGTTTCGTAAGGCATGATGCACCGCGGAGAAGGGGTTCTGCTCTCTGGGCAGAACCTTCGCGGTCCAGTCCAGAAGACAAGGAAACAATGAGGAGCAAAGCATATGGGTGTGGGTCACTGTTGGACCCAGGTTGCCCACCGAAAATGAACAGAATACCCGTCAACCTTTTAGGGTGAGATCCAGGCGACCCACAGCCATATGGCTGCCAAGGTGTTAGGTAGTGGTATGTAATTACCTGGCCATGCTGAACACTTTGTGTGCTCCACCCAGAATCAAGGCCATTCCAAGCTGCGGCAGTGGAGGTGCACGATTCGGCTGGACGTGCCGGGCAAGCGGCGACGTTTCTATCTGCACTGATAACTAGGGACCGGATGGTTTTGGTATGGCAAGGTATCGCAGCTATCAGCTGACAACACACACAAAGGGACCAAGAAGATCTGAGCTGTCCAAAGACAGTTATATACAGTAGTTGTTCAAAGAGATCTTGCTGATATCCATCAACTGAAGAACCCGTTTTCATCCATGGAGTGACCAAGTGACCAGGTCAGGTAAATCACAGAAGACCTACATAGACCTCGAAACAGCTCTTGGCAAAACCCCAATTTCCATCGGACCCATCCCACAACACCGCTCGAGGTCAGGTCCTCCGGTCAAATGGAGGCATGACGATCTCAACAAAAGAATACTTCATGCTGCGAAAGACAGGCCATTTACGTTCGGCCATTTGAATTCTGTCAAAGGTGCTTTCCAGGACAAGAACAGGAAACACTCCTTTTACTTCAGGAGCACCAACACACATTCCGCTTCATCCAGCTCTCCATCGTGACACCCTGATGGTGCCCATCGGTTCGGCGGCAGTGCCCTGCCGCGCACGGAACGCTCGTCATTTTGCGGTCCGTGGGATCGTGTCCACTCGGCTTCGTGAGCTTCGAGGCTTCATTCGAAGAAATCTCACAGGGCTCTCAGTTTGAGTTCGTTGGGATCTTAGAGCCCCTAGAAATATTGTATATATATATATATGTTATATTATAGAATCTTATTTTGCATCTGTTGTTGGCACTAGTGACCCTGAAGTTTCGGGGATCCTGAGGTTTTCTTGTCGGAGCAAACCCAAGTTTTCTCCAAGTATGGAACATTTATTACATACCCTAAATGGGTAGACCCCTGAAACTACCCTAAATGTAGACAAATATGCCAGTCCCATGGAGTGTCTGGGAAGGAACGATCATGTACAGCGAGGTGATTCCCATGGTCACTCTATTGCACGGCACCCACTGAGGAGGTGCGGAACAAAAAGGTTTGGGAAATTGGTATTGGTCCAGAGTCATTCCCAAACACTCCATGAACCTAGCCTAACAATGACCAAACTTGCAGTGCTTGAAGAGGGGTCAGGTCAAGCTTCCAGTCATTTCCTGCTATCTCAGCAAATGTCTACTGTCATGACCTCCACCTTTTGTTGTTTGTTCGCACCTGTGGCTGCGAGAAACACCTGTTGCTTTGCCTGCTTGGCCGAGCCAGCTGCCATTAGTGTGGCTTGTTCCAATCGATACCTGGACATTTGTTACGGCCTGTAGTGATGTCTCGCTATGGTTCTTTGCGACACTTACGGACGATCTGGTTCGCCATCGACCTGAGTTTCTCCACATCTGGTCTGAACGAAAAAAGGCACGCTGAGGACCTGCGTTTCTCCGGCTGGATCAGACGTGGCGCCGTTACTGACCTACATCGGTCGGGGGGGTGGGTCGCACGGTTGCGAGGTATGGCGGAGGATGCTTGAGAAATCCGAGAGGTATGGCACGGTAGACCAAACCGAACCCCGGTATGGCGCCTGGTTTTAGGGGTGGGGTAAGCCTTGTGGGTGTCGTTTGTCCCAAGGATGGCTGGTTGAACAAGCTTCCTTTGCATGCAAAGCCGGAAGTTGATCTTGGAATAGGTGACATATTGCATGACGTGGATATGTTGCTATAAGCATGAGTCGAATCTTACAAAGGACAACCAATGAACTACACTAGATTACTTATAGGTTTCTGTTTGGGATAAAGGTACATCTACAAGTGGCTTGTGGGTTGGGCAAGCGGTGGTCACAAATTGGTCAGGATCAGCTGGAAGAAACTGCGGGGACTGGGAAGATGCAGCTGTACCGCCACAAGGTCTAAGGTCAACATAGGTCAACCACCAAACCATTGCCTTTGGCGAACGCATGTCACCTGAGTGGCCTGCATTCTCGCAACAAACACATGATTCAACACACCAAAGCGCAATGCGGACCCTTTGGACAGCGCTCCGTGCATGATCGGCACAGAATGCCGAATGTGATGGCTTTGGAAGATGCCTCAACACTAGGGACTTCGGACCAAATGCCTGTCCTGCTTCTCCTGCCATGAATTCAACCACAAAGAACGTATAAATGTATGAAGCAAAATCTAAAATCAGATCAACCAAATTGATTCACCGCGCAAAAAACAAACACAATCAGAGATCCCGACCGTATGAATGCCGGTCCTGTGGCCCTCCTAGTCTTGGCACTCCTCGTCTAGGCCCGACTGGCCCGACTGGTCCCTTTGAGCTGAGACATGGACGGCATCGCATGGGGTGGACGTCTCAGGATCGCGTGGGATCTGACGTCGTGGGACTGGCCGATGGCTGGTTCTTTTGTTCTAAGCAATGTTAGTTTCATGGAGTGTCTGGGGATGGCAGGTGGCTTTCCAAAACGCGGAGACGGGTCAGGACCGAGGACGGAAGACCAACTAGGCACCCCCCACAACAATCACAGCTACCGTTGGCCTGGCTTGTGCTACATAGTGCTTTATTTATTATGTTTTCGGCCTTCTTTCACATATCAAAGTTGAATAAAATACATGTTTTGCAATGCCAGCCACACATGAAGGTTCCAACCATGCATATTATGACACCAACTATATGATCGTATGACTCATTATATTGTATTGTTATATTAAGATGTCACACAGTAATACAGAATATATCATGATATACGTTGATGACATCTTTCTTTCTTTCTTTCTTTCAATTGGACACTTCGATTGGACGGATCGGCAGGTCGTTGATGACATATCGAAATCAAATTCTGTCAGCGGTTATGGCACTCATTTTCGATCTCCCGGATCCTGAATGCCATGAAAAACGATGGCCCGGTGAGACTCCTCATGGCCCACGTGAACGATCCTCTGTCCTGAGACCCAAAACGATCCGAAACTCAACCCCAAAATGCAACCAACATCGAGGTCATCATTGAATGATCTACAGTAAATTTATCAACAAAAAGGCCGCAGACATATCAACCAGCCAATACAGTCTTACAAACCAATCTGACCAGATGGACCAATCTGACCTCTGACCGGCGGGCCGATTGGTCAAATCGGCGGCCTTAGGCCGTGCGTTTGCTGCTGCGCTCTTGTTGGGCGATGCTCATGGATTTCACCTCGGTGTTTAAGACCGCCAGGCTCGCCTTCATCTCCTTGGAGCGGGAGGCAGGGCTTCCCAAGGCTTCCCTAAAAGGCGGCTAAGTAAAACACGGGATGGGTCGTTTTATTGAAGGGTGTGAAAGAAGGTGGTGCTACAGTGAACTGATTTCAATGATTCTGAGGCCTATTTCAGACTCTATTGGGATTCATGAACATTTCAGGTGTCACACTGATGACCGGGAGCTTCTTCAAAAGAGTCTCCAGGTTATAGATCTTGCGAAAAACAGGTTCCGAATTTGGACGATGAGATGTCGAATCAACGGAACAGGAAGTACAAAGAACATACAGACATATATGCCAACAAAACACATAAACTAACTATATATATAATGGAATTGAAAAAAAGAAAACACCATGTGGCTCGGATTAAACACCATGAAAACCACTCGTATAGAATATGGTATAATATATATATATATCTTTTGAGTTTTGTCCGCACCGTTCCGCGGTGTGCGAACGCCGCACCGTGTCGCCGAGTTCGAGTTCGGTGGTGCTCGGCGAAGCGTGGGTCCAAGGAACGGCGACCATCTCCTGTAGGGCTTTGGTGGCCAACAGGGTGGCCACCGTGTCGCTCTTCTTGACCTCTCCGCGGATCTTCAGCATGCCCTGCGCTTCGATGTTTGGCTGTGGGTCCAGGTCTGGATGTCCCAGTCAGCCTGGTGGGTGGACATCCCGAACGAAGCGAGGAATCTTTTCATTTGACCCACAGTCATTTGTTCAGTTTCTCACCTGAGGAGGACGAGGGTTCTTGTGAACAACAGTTCATGAAAAGGATAGATCCCTTGCCGGACAGGATCAGCGAATTTCATGTTTGGGGTAGTATGATAGTAGTATAGCGGTGATCTTTGAAGGGTCTCTTCATTGATTCTCCTGTATGCTATGTCACCAGAACAATTCCATTGGAGGAACCAAATGGGCACGTAGACAAATGTACTGCTCAGGTCCTGAATGGAGGAATCGTTGAAGAACAAACGTTCCCTTCAATGGTCAGCTTTCTTGAGGAAACAAACAAATGATAACACATTTAATTTAATTGGCCTTAGAGGCTAACGTTGACCGTACTTACCGTAATACTCATTATTAATATTCACTACGTTCCACATTGAAAACACTCTAGCGGCACCCTTTTTGACGACCAACGTGATGCCAAATCCACATTTGAGTGGATCAGTTTTACCCAAAAAGATTGAGCCCATCCACCAGAGTTGTTTTCCAACCGCCTGATATGCCGTGGGTTGAGTCATTTGGCGCGACTTTCTTGAGGTTCTCGATGATTCTCGCAACTATCTGGCAGGAATGGGCATCCCAAAGATTGAACTCTTCAAATACAGGTTGCAGTGTGGCTCTGTTCTTCTCTACCACCCCCAAACAAGAACAAGCAATCACCTCTGTTGTGCATCGGCCCTCGCTGATCCCCCTCCATCGGCCCTCGCCGACCCTCGGTTGCCTGAACCAACTCGGTGACATCCATCGTGCCACTGCCATCTGCATCGATGACCTGTGTTGGTCGTCACAGCTTGGTCAGAGTATTTGCTGTTAGATACCGGCGGCTTCGAGGGCTAAGTTTACGCTACTATGCACAAGTTTAACCGAGCATGGAACAGTTGGTTTGCGTTTCTTCATAGATTCGCCAACCAACCTGTGGAATGTCATACCGGAAAGGATGAGGTTTTATGAAGATTTCATTGAACATCATAGACCACTTGGACACATGAAATAAAGGGTAGCGTGAAATAGCGTGAAATACTCGTGAAGTAGCATAAATGCTACTAGGGGCTCCTGGCCTTGCTACTAGGAACAAGAAGCTACTAGGGGCTCCGTTGGGCATGAAAGCACAAGTTTATCCGTGAAGTTGGACCCTCCCAGAACATGATTCAGTGGTACTTGGGGACACGTGGTGGTTCCAAAGGTTGCAGGGAAGACTTCGTTCTGATATAATATGTCTGAAACCAAGGTCCTTGATTGATATTGTACTTGTTTAAAACGGGTTAAACAAACAGCACCAAAAAATAAAAACAAACAAGTGAGCACAGGGTAAACTTAGGCGCGACAACATGTATTGAGTAAACTTTGATGTGGGCAAATGCACAAGTTTACTAGCGAGGTCTGAAGTTGAGGATATATTATAATATGATTTCATCTTAGATACATATCATATTGCAATTTAATAGCAGTTTTAGACTGTTTCATAACAAACATCAACACTGATAGCATGATTTTTCTACCCAGGTTATCTTGGATGGATGGAGGTGCAACATCTCCATCGAATGGCAGGCAAGGCAAAGAAAGAAAACGGACGGAAAGGAGCTTCATCAGGCTGGAGCATGTCTTCACCTGCCAACACCCTTCGGAAGGCGCATTTGGTAGGGAACGTTTTTGGTAAATTCTTTACATCCTTCAGTTAACGGTTGCATGGTATAAAACGACTTTGGCTACGGCTAGGCTACTTGGACCCTCCAAAGTACGACACAGACTCATGACCCAAACCCACGAAAGAAACGGTGCTACTTGGAGGTCTACATCCAAACCTCCTTACCTCGGCTGTATGAAAAACACATCTCCGCAGCTGTCTGGAAAACCTTCCGTCTTGAAACAAAAGGAAACGCCCGGGACGTTGGAGCTCTGGTGTAGCAGTGTAGCCATAGATTGAACATCCCACCGACAAGTCGGCCCAAGTTCTCCAAATTTGGTTCGACAAGCAAAGACCCCTGCAAGCTACATCTCAACAGCATGATCAACACTTGTTAAATGCCCAATTCCATACCTGGACCATCCAATGGGTGTCCAATGGAGATTCCTAAGTAGTGTAGTACGGTAGTCCAGATATATAGTCAGTCTATGTGTTCGGAGATGTCTTTTGCAAGAATCGTCAGAGATGTTCTTTGCTCCCTCAGATGCTGTTACTTTATCCTTTTGGAGGCCCAAACATGACCACGCAAAGAGCCATGTGGCTTTCAAACTGGGCTCGCCACGTGGCACGCTTTCGAGCGTCGAACCACCGGCCGCCCCACCTCGAAGAGGTTGGCCCGATCCGGCGGGAGGTCCAATTCATCCATCAAGGTCTGAACGGTGCGGTCCTGACGTCGGGTCCGGTCGGGTCCGTTCAACCATGAAAGGATATATATATATATGTCCAACCACTCCATGTATGGAATATTGATCCCCCCAAAAGCCCATATACATATATGCAGAAAGAAGACGCTAGGGATTCCCGGCCCACCATGGTTCAAATGAGCCTTTGCTAAACAACCATGGTTTTACTAAGGGTTATATAATATATCATATGCCAAACAATGCATGCATGGAATATTTACATGCATCATATATATATATATATACATAATATCATAAATTCATGGCCCACCATTGTTAAAATCGGTCTTTACCAAAAAACAGCCATAGATTCACTAAGAATTTTAAACAGTTATATCCAAAACACTCCATGTATGAAAGAATTACCTGTAGCCTATATTATGTATATATATATTATATATTCTTTATACATCCTCGAGATTCAAGGCCCACCAATGGTCTGATGGATCTTTACCAAATAACCCTGGTTTTACTAATGACTTTGTTATGTATATATATATATTCCAAACACTCCATGTTATGGAATATGGATCTATAGCACTATCTATAGCCTATACTTGTATGAGGGATTCCTGGCCCACCTTGGTTTGGATGGGTCTTTCCCAAACAGCCATAGTTTACACATATTTTTATATATAAACACTCCATATACGGAATATGGTGGCATTTTGGTAAGGACTCCATACATGGTACATATTCCATGAAGTATTTAATATATATATATACTAATTATATATATATACTATTATGCATGCATGTATTGTACCAGCAATCCTTGCTCTCTTCTAATTGAACCCCCTCTCAGCACCAAATTGCCATCCCCTTCAACGTAACCAGCAGATTGGCACAAGCAATATCTTCTGAAACAGCTATGTAAGATAGTTATACAAGTGTGCTAAAGATCGTCATATCACGATGTGAACTTTGCAGCACATGCTTTGAGCGTCATTTGGACCCATCCGGTGCTACGTTTGGAAGAGGTAGAGTGTAGAACCTTTCGAAGAGAGCTCTTAGCCTGGTGTGGATGCACCAGGCACCGGGCATGTTCCACTCACCTGTCATCCGCTTCACTTCTGAAGACTGACGTTCCCGTCGAGGCAGGTCATGCAAGGAGTCAAGTCAGCTTGATCTTCCGTTGAAAGAAACTCCAAAATCAGAAACGTCAACGTTGCCAACTGGAACCACCCCTTGCGTCAATTGGACTTCCTGCCGATGTCCATCGCAAACACCCAAACATTCGACCAACATCCCTGGATCAATCGAGATGTCGAAACGAACGAATCATCCGAGTCCTGGATCACCAACAAGAAGAGTTCTTTGCTAATGGCCTCAACCCCGCGAGCGGTTTCAGAGTTTCGGCGTTTTTTTTTCCGGCAGGACTGGTCTCTGTTACGCATGTTCTTCTCCTTCAGAGACGCCGGTGGGTCCCACCACGCGCAAGGTCAACGGACCGAACGCTGTGTCCGCCACGCCACACGTAAGACCGACCGCATCACCTGGGAGCATCATCATCATCATCATCATCACTGAGCAGTCAGCAGATGATGAAGTCAGTGGAATGCTTTCAATTAAGGCGAATGTCCACACGTTTTGAAGAGATGTGGTGGCATGGTGGCATGGCGCATGGCGCAAGAAAAATCCCGTGAAAGAAACGTACTCAGGTCTGCATGTTGGCCAGTCTTACGACATGACGTGCAGAATTGTCCGTTTGAGGTGCCATGGCTCTTCTGGATGATGCTGGTCTTGACCAGTCCAGCAGTTTGAAAAAGGTCTGCAGCCTTTATGACTTTGAAAATGGTTTGGGTTCGATTTGGACCTTTTATTCTGTGCTTCCCTTTTTCCTTTTGGTTCCTTTCCAAGCCGGGGCAACGAGCCGCACTCGGACCTTCGCCCAGCACTCGGACCATGGCCCCCCACGATCTCGTGGATGTCTTCATCGGTGTAGGCGGAGCTGGGCTCGTTCAGGTCCAAGGTGTTCCGTGTTTTGGAGGCCTCAGGAGGAGTCCAGGAGTCGACTGAGTGTTTCGTTGTTCTTTGCGCGTGGAAAATCGAAAAAAGTGACACAACACAGCCTGTGAAAACTATCATGTGCCTGTGACAAAGGCGCCTTTGGCACTTTGGGAAGAGCTTGGTTCGTTCGCAAAAGGAACTTCAGGCGCTCTTGTTTTCATCGGAATTCCTTCGTGATAGTTGTAACATGTAACCTGTTCTTGGAGCTGACCTCGAGCTGAACTCGAGGTAATCAATTAAGGAAAGAAGCAAAGGTCTTGTCTGTGAGAATTGTTTAAAGACAGGATCGACTTCCTGAGTCTCACGGCTTTTCTGCCCCCGTTCTGCACCCGCAGCAGCACGGCGACAGCTGAGCGACCTCCGGTTTCACCGGGTCCCGCACGCCAATCTGACCTGCTTCGTCAGCCTCTTGGAAGGATCGATACGCTTGGGCGAACTTCTTCAGCAGTTCGCCTGGAAGAGAAGAGCGACATGTCCTGATGATGTGAGGATAGATGGTCCTATGCATGATGGGTGGACCCGCTGGATACCCAGGACCACAGATCGACGGATCGGTGGTAGGATCGACAGATACAAAGACGTGCCACGCAACCATCATGATCCACACCCTCCATGGTCAACCCAGCGAAAGCACGAGATGGACACATCCATGAGTGCTCTGGGTTTCTAGCCCAGTGGTAAGACATTACAAGGCTTTGTTGGGTGAAGTCCCTTGGCATGGTGGTTTGGAGAATGTGAACAAAAAGCGGATCCCTCTTCGGTCAAGGCCAAACCATTTTCAGCCTCCAAGACTTCTCCAGTGGTTGGAACATTCGCCTCTAGGTAACATGAACTAGCGACTGTGCAGAACGAGGATTCGGTGCTTAGAATCGGAACGAACCTGCTGAACCTGCTGAGCAAATGTTTCTGTTTCAGGTGTTGCTGAGCACAGCTACTGCCCAAGCCTACCATAATCAAATCTGGTGACACCAACAAGCTGGTATGATGTGAAACCAGGCCCTGAGCTCTGTCCCTATCTCTCTCTCTCTCTCTTATTAGGTTGGAGGCCACCGCTATTAGATTGGAGGCCATCGCTACGTAGTAGGTTGGAGGCCATTACAAATAGGTTGGCCTCTCTTCTCTCCCTATCTGTATCTCTCTTTACAAATTCACCATTCTCCCAATGCCCAGTCACGTGTGGTCCGCGCGATACCTGATGGCGGCAGCTGCTCCATTGACGTGTACAACACCGTGTATATATATTAATGTATTATTAAGTTATTATATGACCATACAATACATAAATATATATATATGTAGTTATACAATATTATGCATATAAATATCAGGATGCCGTCAGGGTGCATACTTCTGGATACATCCCAAAAGGGAGGGCCCAGGTATGGTCATACCCACCTGATTGACTTCGACGAAAGCCTGAAGACTCCAAACCACACTTTCGGACACTTGACGTGTGTTCATTCACCACGGTCGCCCACACGACTCAAAGCGGAATCACCCTGCACCAAAAATAAGGTGACACCAAATCAGCACATTCAACCTTTGAGTCACGCATGCTCTGAGTCCACACAGCTCCTGCAGAGGTATCGGTATCTACATCATGACATGAGATTGCTTGCCCTATCTTACTTTGGGCTCCAAGTAGTTTTCTTAACCGCGAATAAGACTGAAGAAACAATACAACGATTCAGGTTGCAACTGATTTCCCCACACCCGGGGCTTTCCAATCGGAATTTTGGAGAAACGTTCTCCGTTACGGTCCGGTTCTCCAACAGAACACCGAGCTGCGGATGGATTCACGAGCGTGTTGCTCGGAAGTAGTTGCCTCTGTCTCCTGCCGACATCGGATGCGTTAGGACCCGGCACCCATCGAAGCGTTAGGATGAACGGACCCAAGGTCACCCGCCCAAACACGCAAGGTCACGCAGCATATTCGCCTCCATTGTGGTTGACCCAGGGTCAATGCGAGCATATAATTCTAGTTGTGTTTTCCTGTCTGGGTGGCCGGAAAGCCTTTGACTGGGTCTGCGTGGGTGTGATAAACACAACATGATCAAATATGATCTTCTTCGCTTCTCCTAGCAAGTGCTGAGGAAATTTGACAAGGCACCCTGGACATGGGTGGCCCAAATAAACATCGCTGTGCTGAAAGTCGAAGCAGGCCGTCTTACCTTTGGGTTCATGATCGTCACTCAAGGCTGGAGTGACACCCCAAACTCATTTGGGATGAAGAAATCACCAGAAGCCTCCTGAGAGGAACATCAGATCAGTGGCTATTGCTAGATTTGCTAGGTAGGTCGCTAGGTCTTTCATGTTCAATAATATCCAAGTCAGTGGAATTTCCATGTTCAAATACGTGCGCAGTATGCCACCAAGAACATAGAAGGTAGTGGTGAATGCAAAAAAAACAAACCAAGTTGCTAGTGAAACCTGGTCACAGGAGAAAGCCGTGTGTGACTACGAGGGTACCGCTTGTATGTTGTACATAGCCGCTACCATAGGATTCCCAAAGACTGACATAGTAGTGGTGCCTTGGCCGCTCGCATGGTGATGTCCACGTAGACCTGCGGGCACGAAGTCGACTGAGGCATCACATGGTCCATGTCCCCATCAATTTGCTTATATACCTTTGTTGACACCAACATCATTTGCTCCTATAGCTTGTAGTCGTAGTTCTTGACCGGTAGGGCTCAAACCATCTGGGATTCACTGTGGCGGAAAGTCTGATTTAGATGGACCTGCTGTAATCGAACCACACATATTCAAAAATTGAATTCATGGAGTCATGCCCCAAGAAGCCTGATAGGTAACACATGGATCCCATGTTCTGCACAGCTCTGTGCCCCTGTGCGTATATAGGGCTGGGCATCGTGGGCGAGGCCACGTCCCACGTCACCTTCGATCAATGGCCCGGCAAGAAGCACCACCCATCCATCGTTCTCCAAGGGACAGCCAAGATCACATTGAAGATACCTCATGCGCATGGATCCAAGGATGGAGCAAAAGCAAGGGAAATGTTGAATCATCACCTTTGGAGACCCTACTCCTGTGCAAAAATGACGATGTCTGTCATCTTGGAGGTGAGTCGATCACTGAAGCTCTTGTGCAAAGAGATGGTGACCGTCTGAACAAAAGATTGTGCGTCGATCAGTTGGGGTTGATGAGCGGTCAATTACCTTTTTAAAGGTGAATACTTGGAATTGAGAGACGCATGCCGACCCTGATTACATCCAACCACGCATCCATCCGTTTCCAAAAGAGACCTGGCCAAGGAGGTCCCCTAACCCACAAAGCGATGAAACGGTGTTGCCCTTATATATGTATATTTGTATATGTATATTGTATATTTATATTATTTCTATTTAAGTATAACGATTTATGCATGGTGTGGCAATAAATCGCATATATATAATTATATATGAAAACCAGGTTTTTGCCACGACAAATTTCCAAGGTTTGGTCACTTAAGGTATATCATGGTTATATATATATATATGGAGTATATAGTATATACGTAGGTTGTATGCACTATACCTTTTCTACTTTTGGACACAAGGACACACCATGTGTCCACCTCCGTACCCGCCACAGGCACCTAAGGTCACCAACATATAGCTAATGATGTAGCCTGCCACGAAGGCAAAACCGTAGTCCAACTCTTCCTCGGAGGCTCCCGGCGATCACATTGTCACGCCACTGACATTGTACGGCGAGCCCGGACAGGCCAGGGTCGATGGGTTTGAGGAAAAAACCGTGTTTCAACCAAACGCAGGTATTGAAGTGTTTTGAAACATAATCATTGCATAATTTGTTGGTTTAGTTTGGAACTGAAATAGTGAACGGCCTGCCGGTGTGCCAGGTGACTTCTTTGGAGAAGACCTGTCATGAATGGGATGCAATGCATCAAATCATCCATGAATAGGGTTTTGGCGGCTAGCTTGCTTCCCGGTTCCCTGTCAAGGAAGTTGGAACGCATCCATTGATTAGTTCCATTCGGGATGCCACTGGTCACCCCCTGAATTTTTGCCACCCTGACATGAAATTCCAAATGGATGGATCTCAATGCCCAAGAATCATGACACGGCCCTGGTTGAATTGACCTTCCCCAAACAGATCAAGGGGCCTGTCAAGGTAGTGAGCGTTTCAAAACGGTAGACGGTAGACGTCAAGAAGAAAATACACTTTGCAAATTGATTGATACTGGCTCTGTATCTTGCTTGCCCCTCGATCCCGGACCAAAAAGGACGTAACTAAATAGTGGGTCCCAACGAACAAAGCTAGATATAGACCTCAAAGACCCTCGTTCTGTTTGTGTTTCTGGCGGATATCGTCGACATTGTCATGAATAGTTTGTATAGTTCCTGGGACTGCCCGAAATTTGACTGAGTCACTGCCAAGATTGCATGGATTGGAAGACCTCGGTGCCAAACTCGGCGGTGGGTAAACACCTCCGTTGCTTTGTCTAGGTATGACTTCCTATTTATGCACCTTTTTGTGAAGAGTGATCCCCACCTTGAAAGGTGATTTGGAAGAATGCAGGGCACATGTATTGACAGACTATCCTGACAAACGCTGCGTGACATGTGCACTGACACAATGTCCTGAAAGTTGTTCTGGCATCAAGCCTGTACAGTATGTGTTTTGACACATCATCTAGCAAAAAGGCAGGAATATGTTCAAGAACGTATTCTGACATCCTTTCTGGCATGTGTTCTGACGTTTGTCCTGCCGTCAAGTCCGACATGTGTTCTGACATATCTTCTGGAATGTACTTCTGACACTTCTTCTGTCATGTGCGGCTGCCACTTGTTCTGCCATCACACCGAAACATGTGCCACAACGATGTCAGTGCCGACGTGCCGACATGTCTTTTTCTTGGTGTGTGTAACTTGAGATGTGTTCTGTCACCTGTTCTGGCATGATGTCCGACATGACACATCTTCGGGCGGCCGCCGTCACCCGTCGAACGCCCCGACCGGCAGAGGTCCGGGAAGGCCGGAGGAAGTGGCGACTGGCGGTTTTCGTGTGCGAATAAACACGATGCCAAAAAGACCTGTTGTTCAACGCACGCTGCACAAGAGGACTCGCAGGCGCCACGTGTTTCCAACTCACTTGAACAAAATGTGTCAGTGGGATCAACCATCCCTAAGTGGGATCAACCATCCCTAAGTAAAGCTTTAACATAATATCTCAAACCACCACCCAGACAGGCATTTGAATACACCCACTGTCTAGCTTGACCTCTTGGAGGCTCCATGACCCCTTCCCGCCATCCGCCGCTGGACTCGCCACGACCAGACGTGCGTCATCCGACCCTTCGTCACCCGCTCCGCACCTTTCGCAGAATTGCACTCGCCACAAAAGCACCGAAAGGCGGTGAACATGGACCTGGGTTGGGAGGAAACTGCAGGCATGGCGTGGAGCCATGGTGGGGTCCATGGCATGCCCGGACAGCCCCCGGACAGCCCTGGACATTCACGTCGTTGAGATGTAACAATGAAGAGAGGTGGATGACTCGATGACCGAAGACCCGCAAGCTACATCAAGCTACCAGGGGCAAAGGTAGACTACTTAAACACATTCACATGCAAAAAACCTGGAGTTACGGGGGTTTGAGATGGTTCTCCCCAAAGGACATGGGAATGGACTGGTGACTATGGGCCGGTAATGAGCTTGGCCCTGGCCTTTTTGGGCCATGAGCCAGGACGCTCCGGTGTAGGTATAAACAGGTGACTGCCCACAACCAGATGTCTAGACGGCGATCAACCATCTCTGGGGAGGGTGCCCACTCTGAAATCTTCTGCTTACTGCTTGGTGAAGCCATATTGCTCCAACGTTGGCAAATGTTGTCTTCACAGGCCCGTTTCCTCTTCTTGGCTTCTATATAATAGCCTTAATTTTTGGATGTCATTTTACTATGTGGCGGTCCGGATGGCCTCTTCCACAGTCGTAGCACTTCTAGCTGATTCTAGCTGCCTCTTCCATGCACCCTGCCCTTCTTGACAGACATGCTGGTTGTTGAACATGATCCATCAATAACTCACAAAGCCTTCTAATATATAGGTATGAGTGTGATCTTTGGAACCATCTGCAGAAAGACTTGCAGTCTCCAAGTCTGCCAACATCTGGATCCTTGAAACCAAACAGGCCGGACTTGAGATGAGCTGTATTGGAAGAACACATTAAAAACAAGGACACACACACACCAAGCTAGAAGATCCTCCCTTTTGAGATGTTGACTGTTTGACCACAACGATGTCCAGGGACGTCTTTCAACACACTATGATGTCCAGGGACGTCGTTGGTCACGCGCCGGAAAGCTAAAAACTGATCCTTCCTGTCACCAAACAAGGGTGCCCAAGTGACGTGATACAGGCTGAGATTGGAGAGAAGCAAACGCATGTGGACTCGGACCAATTACAGTAATTAATATAGACTCTTGATTAAGCCACCCCATCATATGAATAGGTGTTCAATTCAAATGGGGGTATCTATTACATAATCAAGTCTACATTCTTGATCTTCAACATAGGTTCTCTAATGTTCTCTAGTTGTTGCCCACGGCCAAACAATCCTCCCCCAGGCCGCATCCTTCTGGCCAGGGGGCCAGAAGATGTTCTCAAAGCCTCAGCTAGGGCTTTGGGTAGATACATCAACTTCAACCCGTTGCCATGGTTGGGATCAAATCACGGAGAACCTCAGACAGATCCCTGAACGAACATGAACGAGAAACATCCCAGTGCTTCTCCCCATGTCTGCTTCTCCGCTCGGGTCCCAGTTCGACAAGGTATGCCTGCGCTCTAGTCACTGGATCTGAGAGAGTTTGACTCCGACAGGGTGAACGATGATTTCATGTCGCTCATGTTGGCTCTCTGATGGCTGGTCGTGTAGTCGTGTCCCTAAAAAGAAAGAGGCAGCCAGCACACAGCTAGAAAAACAGGTTTGCAGCTTGGAGACTTCACAGTCGCTTTTCCATCCTTTAGGTCTCCCCGAATCCTACCAGATGGTGGCGTCAGCGTCCGCGATATGTCCATCCTTTAGATTCGATTTTCTTACAAGTGCGAGTGGCCCGAAATCTGACGAACTGGTGGGGACCACGCATGTGAGAACAGGTTCTAGATGCCCTGCACCATCGGTCAAAGTTGAATGGTTTTATCAAAAGGATCTGGAAAACACATAGTACAAGGGGCACGCAACATACGATTGATGCGACTTTTTGGGAGTTCGTGTCATTTCGAACTCTCTCGGTCATGTCTTTGACAAAAACTACAGAGCCCCGCTTTATATAAGACCATTTGACCGCCCCCGGTGCCCCCGCCCTGCTGAGGTGGGCACCCTGCGCCAGCTCGAGCTCGATCGCTCTCTCATCACGACCGATGGTCATGGTGGCAAAGCCTGGACCGATGGCATCGCTCGGTCACTGTGTGACTGTGTGGGATCTTTATCCCATGATCAACTTGACCGCTTGGCGAAGTCTCGACGGTTTGAAAAGACATCAAGAGTGGTTTTGTCCCTGCAAACCAGGCTGAAAAGGATCTGTTAGAGACTGCAAAGAAACTCAAGGGCGTTTAGATGTTTTGAGTGCTTGGCTGTTCTTAATGGGTTCCCCATACTCGAAACTGTACACTATAGAAAATGTCAGGAACAGTCCTATCAAACTGGCGGGGACACGACGTGGTGGATGTTCTTTTAAAGGTTCGTGACCCAATAATATTTAGGTCTTGTGGTTTCGCACTATGTCACTATACTTCAGCAGTTCCTGAGCCCAACATCATCTATATAAGAATCTTTGACCTCTTAAACCGACTCAAATGATTCTGTTTATCCATCTTGAGCCGACTTTGCACATCCAACCTCCCCCCTCGCTCGATGTTTGGAAAATGCTCGCTCTCCAGACTCTCTAGTGTGCCTTTGAGAATCGCCCCCAGCCCACATCGATAGAATGAACCGCTTTCTTCCAAGTGTGTCCGTGTCAATGGGATGCCGCCCAGCTCCGCAGTTTTAGTGGCAGGCTGCCTGAGATCACATAGAGCACCGCGAAAAGCAGCGCAAAGGCCAGTGCCAGTGTCCTGTTCCCAGCTGCACAACTGCGTTGAAGAGACATCGGCTTTCTGGGCATTTCAAAGCTTGGAAGGGTCAAACTCCGCTGGAGCAGCAAGACAAACACAGCACTCTATATGTAAAGAGTAGTCCGCACCTCTTTTTCTGTTCGCTCTGCAGCTAGATTGTCCGAATATAACAAAAGTTGGGAACAAAAATGGAACTCCCCAAAAAAACGAGTTGGTTATCCCCCTCTTCCCGGTCCACAACACGAGGAAGGGGCCGTTTCCGGATAATCATCCCCCCTGACCAGGTGGGCCACACCCCAAACCCTGGCCAGGCCCCAAGGGACACCAGCATTTTTTCTCACTTCTTTGCTGGTTTAGCGGAGGAATGCTTCTTTCCACGTCCCCCCACCTCGCTTGCGTGAGGTCGGCCTGTTGCTTCGCAACGGCTCAAGTGTTTCAAACTGTCTGGGGTCTGAATTCTGAAAAAGGGTGCGAAAGGGTGCCAAGTGTCTCTCAAGGGTCCTGGTTTCATTTCGGCCAAAATGGCTCGGGACTCGTTAGGATACAGGCGTGCCGTTTTCTGGACCTGCCAACTGCCAACGCCCCAAAATCATCACTCGGTCCAGATTTCCGTGTTGACAGAACCACCACGTGGCTCCGCCACGCCTCAAAGAGTAGGGTCTGAGCTTAAGGGATTCCAGCTGAAGGCTCTCAATGCAAGATTTAAAAAATTTACGCCATCGCGCAGGCGTCGGACAAAGCTTTTGGTGGGGTGAAGCTAACGTCACCCAATGCTGCACATACCGGAAGGCAGTATCATGACCTATCGACACGCTTTCCTGAACCCCTGCTCTTTTGCCAGCTTTGGTGAGGCCTAAGGCAATGACGGCAGTCCGCAACTTCTTGGAAACCTCCACCCTATTGCGAACTACATCCAACAGCTCACCTGTGCGCAAAATGCCGTAAAAGCATAAAAGCAGGCTCGTTGCGAAAGCGAACTGACCATGATATAGGCTCTATCCTACCATACTATGCAAGACATCTCCAGCTCCTCCACTGCTCCAGGGTCGATCCCCCGCTCCTCGTCTCGGCCTGCTGCAGGCCGCCTGAACGCCCCTGCTCCTCGTAGAACAGCGGCTGGTCTCCGCATCACTTTCGGTGCAATCTCTTCCCTCCTCCTTTACCACGGCCTGAGCCGTGGGGTGCGTAGTACTGGCCTCGAAGGACGTGTTTGTATCCTTTCACGCTTGGGTTTGTGTTCGTCTCGATGATCCTGGTCGTGGTAGCCAGGTGGTGAATGGGAAGGCGTCCTAGGTCGCCTAGGGAGTGGCTTCCTTGCTGACGGGTTGGCAGTGCGGCTAAGCAGGTACTTTCTATCTGATTCCTTGTCGTTCTTGACAACCTCGGGTGATGACTCCGGCTCCTCAAACGTCTCTTCAACCTCCTCTTCTTCTGCCTTTGAACTCGAGATGGGACTCGCTTCCTTCTTGGCCTCAGGGCTAGGCGTGCCCCGCTTCTCCTTCTTGTCCTCCTTCTTGCTCCTGCGCCTCGAACGCGATCTGTGCGACCTTGTCCGTGACCTCCGGCGACGACGAGAACGATCCTTCTTTCTTGGTGCCTCCTCCTTCGGCTCAACCAAGGGTTCCTTGCTTGATTCGGTGTCTTTCTCCTTCTTCACCGGGATCTGGGATGGTGCGGCCTCCTTATCCTTTCCACCTTTATGAACTCCTTCTTCAAAGGGTCCAGGCCCCGCTCTTCCTCTTTTGTAAACTGCACGCTTGTCACCCTCTGTAGCAGAGACTGGCGCTCCGTGCAAATCCACGTACCCAGCGGTGCGATCAGCCTCGAATTTTTCACAAGCCGACTCTACTGTCTCGTTGATCTTCTTCAGGTACTGTACGAGCTCGTCCACTGAGTGTGGAGGGCACCTCGTGAAAACAAGTCTTTCCAACTTCACAATGAGGTAGCAGGGATCACAAAACCCCGACAATCCCACGGGCTTACGCAACCTGTTGTTGCACCCCTTGCACGCGCTCATTCAAGCCAAAACACTACAGAACAGAAAGTTAAGGTGAATTACTCTTTACTCCCGGGGGCGGGAAACCATAGAGAAAGGTAGCCGCTTTTTCTATACATCTATGCAATATGCACACCAACTTATTGTATACATATACAATAATATTATACACATATAATCATATATAACTATACATATTATATATAACTATATATGCAGTGTTTTTGCTCCATAGTGAGAAATTGCGGGGACCGCATCCCAACTAAGCCTGTGGTGCCTGTGTTGCCTGTGCTGAGCCAGCAGGCGAGTTACTGACCAAAACAACTCGATACAGGTGGTCAACTCCTGTACCTATAGGTTTTTGCCCTTGCTTGAAAGTGATCCCCCGCTGCTCGAAATGAACGTTTCAGTCAATTCACTGGCCTTTGCTGAAAAAGCCTGAGCTCAGGCTTCAACACCTCTGCCTGTGATTGGCAAATGGATCTGCACCGTGCCATTCTTTATTCTTTGGATCCCTTCCGCCCGAAATGCCAGCGACCACGGTGACCACAAGTCAGGCCTTTTCTAGTGATTGAAGTTGAGCTCCCCAACTCTTGCCAATTGGCACCATGTACTGGAGTTACTCATTAATCAACGGTGACAAGTTCGATAAGAAAACTCCAATCATGCAGAGCTTCAAAACGCGGAGCAACATGTAAAAGTGCATTATGCTGTTCTTCCTGAATAAAACACACATTTCAAAAACAAAAATGTTTGATTTTCGCCTAACAACATTCACCTCCAACTTCCTGGAAGAAGTGTCAACAACAAGCCAGTTCTGAGTTCTATGGTTGGAATGTACCACAGGACCTTGGGGGAATATGATGAAAGGCACATCAAATGGCCAGCAGGGACAGCAGGGACGCCAGCAGAAGGACGAACAGAAAGGTTTACTCCGACGGTTTACTCCCCGAACGAGCAGCACGCCTTCTCGCTGATCGGATGTATTTAAAACTGTTCCAAGCCTCTATATAGTTCACCATGACAAGGTGCTATCATGGTTCAACAATCTGGCCCTATAGGTGTGAACATACACCTGAATAATACACTCCCACCCAAAGGAAAGTAGTCTTCCAAAAGACAATTTTCCACTTCCATGTTAGTGAGCCACAGTACATATAATAGTTATGTATATATATATATATGTGTATAACACAAATTGTTTGCAGCTCCTGCCTTGAGTGGGTCCTTGGGATGGACAGTTTGTCCAACTCTGGGACAAAGCAACACCAGCAAAAGGGGGTGACTCGACCAGAGGTTACAAAAAACACCCAGTGAACACTATGATGTTCACCTTTTTTCAAGCACCGAATCAAACCTGATGCCGTGTTCTTTTGTGTAATTCATGTGGCATCATGAAAGCTATGCTGGGGGTACCAAGGAGTCTGTTCTCATTCATCATGGCGTTCCTTCCCCAGACCGCCCTGGTGTGAAGGATCTTCCCAGCTTCGCTTCGTTCAATCTTGGAAGGCTGGGGTATAGCTATATCTTGGGGATAATCATGGTCGCTCTTTGCACCAGGTAGAAATAGGATGAAATAGGCCATAAGGAACCGTGGAAACCAGGCCCCATCGATTTGGTACCACCATCAGGCAGCGCCGCTGTGCTTGGGTCCTCAAGCCAGCAACCAAGCCTTTCACCATAAGCCTCAGCTCCTGGCAAACAAGGTGCGCAAAGACAAGTTTCAGTTTTTGTGCTTCTTCTCTGAGCGTCAGGGGCCATTCACCCACAAAGGCCTGTCTTTGATTTTGCTAGAACATGCTGGAGGCCGGCAGTCAACGAGTTCATGAGATTAAAGAGAAAATTAAAAACATGGGTGGTACATGTGCCGCATGGGGTAGTTCACAAGCCTTTCGCGCAACGTGAACAAAACCAACACACCTCTTCCTGGTTCCGAAGGCTGCAGTGGTACATGGCCCCAAATCAACAAGTGCTTCTGGAATCTTCTGGATACATCAAACACTGCAACAGCAAAGGCCAAACAGTAAATTACCTTCTTATAACCAGCCATGTGGAAGTTATCGGGGGTCATCTACCTACTGAACCTCCCTCAACCACATTTCCCTACATAGAGACCATCCTGATCAAGCTTGCATTTGCGTATCAGCTGGTGCTCTGATGGCCTCACTGGCGAATTGAACTGGCCAGGGAGGCTTTTCGTGTTCTCAAAGAGATTTCCAGCAAAAGTTTCTGCCAAAAGGGAGCGGCTAAGCCTGAAATCTGGCACGCTGGAAATTCCTTACGAAAACATCTGGTTTCAAGTGACCCTCGACCTGTCAACAATGGCCAGCCACACCCTTGAGGACTCGAGGACTTTATATAACCACGTGTCCTGTAAATTAGTCATATGTCATCCCACGTGTCCTATATCACCACGTGGCATGTCTCGGCGCACATGTCATTTGTCATCCCTGAGATACCATGGTCTTCAACATTCTCTCTCCCTCTCCCTCTCTCCCTCTCTCCCTCTCTCTCTGTCTCTGAGTCTCACACTGTCGTCTGAAATGAGACGAGAGTAGTTATAGTATGTGATAGTGAAACGCTCAAACCGTATATCTCTCCGGACCTGTCTTTCTCTTTCCCCCTTCTGGTTGCGCTCGCTCCTTCATACACTTCAGCCGGAAAATCTTCCTTAGATGGGCAAACACACAGTGAGTCAAGTTCAAACACTGCGCCACACAGTGAGAGCGCCATGGGTGTTGGGAGCTCTCCTGAAACATCAGGCCTGTCGCCAAGGCCGCCACACAAAACTTCTTTGTGTCCCCACCAAACGTTTTTTGGGTTGGCCCCCATCGGTTTCCAGTGTTTTGGAATGCAGGCCATGTTTCGCTACTTTCCATCAAGAGGTTGGGTATCGGTATAGGGTTGGCCCCTATCGGCTTTGCAAGGTTGTGATCAATTCGGCAATACTTAAGGTGGCTCACGACTAAAGTACCGGTACGGAAGTTTTGTCGGATGCTCAATAGCTGTCGCTGTCGAACTCAGTAGCTTGTTGTATTATGTTGTAATGCTGAATTTACCGTTTTCGACCAATCAGTTTGTACTGAATCATGTCACTTACACTCAACTGCTATAGGCACACACTGCCTCAAATGATCCTCGTTTCACGTGCAACCAGAGGTTGAATATGTTGAATTAGTGTTATTGCAACTCTTGTGGGTTGTAAAAAACATATCTCACAGAGTGACCAGCTGTCGTGGGTTCCGTAAAAAAATAAAAACCTAAGAGTTGGATGATGAAGCAGTGCTTGTCTGACTAGATTAATTATGAGTCTGAGAAAACCCATGAGATTCCATGATCTGGTTGTAAAGGGCTTAAGTTTGTATATCTGCGAACACATCCCGAAAGCATTCCAATGACAAGAGTAACATTGTACAATCGAAAGGTCAACCACACCATCCCTGGAATACTATCCCTGGAATATACACGTGAAGTGTTTGTCCACCTTTGTTGGGGAAAGCGATCCACTGACTGGGTGAGCTTTTGCAGCTGGTCTCACTCACTTAGCTCTTCTATCCCCCACCCTTCTCCCCCTTCTCCACCTGCGCAGCCTCTTCCCCCTCCGACCCCCTGGCCGCCGACGTCCCGAATGGGCTCGACCGGGGTCCGGTCCGGGGCACACGACCCGCACCAACCGGATGAGCCGGCAGAAGCGCAGCAGCGAGCTGGCGAACATGTCGCTCTCGAGGCCGCCCACCGCCTGGAGGCGAGATCCGGTGCGATCGGATGAGGATCGGACGGATGGGGATCTGATGGATGAAAGGGGATGAGGAGACCCCCTAAGAAATGGACCACTGATCTAGATGGCGATGCAAGAATGACATGGAAGACAAGTCTTGGATCCTCTTGGACCATCAGGTGGACCATCAGAAAGTTTTGAGGGCGTAGTGAAGGCATGCAATCGCAGATTCTGGTTTGGTGTCATTATTGAACAAGGCTGAGAAAAAGAATCTAGATCCACCATGGTCCGCCAAATCCAACGGACTCCTTTTGGTGGATTACCAGCAAAAGAACATCACCCATGCGCGAGCCTCCTTTTTTTAATGAGGATCTTGATGTAATATTATCTTGATAATATTTGAACCAAGCCACACCCATTCTCCAGTTATCATGCTTTGTTTCGTGATCGGACTTTTCAAGTCCAAGTCTTCTTCTCCATCAAAAAACGAAGACACGTGGGTGGCGCGGCCCGGAAGACAAAACAAATCCACCCACTTAAAATACAAACATGCAAGAACTTTCTCAAACATGCTCTAACAACCTTCTCAGAAGCTCCTTTGAAAATCTGTACGATCCTTTAAAATCCTGCCAGTTTCGCGTCTGAAACATGTGATTGGTTTTGACTCTCCAACACGTTCCAAACGGAGGATATGGAGCAAACGGAGCAAGTGTCGTGATATCTCTAGTGGTTCACCTAAAAACACATAGAGATCAATCTTTCAAGTCTCGCTCGCTGGATGTCTCGTCCCCTTGGTTTGAACAACATATTCAAACATATTCAAACAAAACATGCAGACCTGCCGCCCACCTGGAAGATCACATCGGTCACACCGGTGATCATCAAGATCAGGTCAAACCTCAGGCGTACCGCATGAGCTTGGCTCCGCTTGTTTCGGAGTTTGGACTCTCCCATCGCTGAGCCTGGCCATCGAAACGAAACCCGGCCCAGAGTTAGCGTTCAGAACACATGATCACTCCAATGAGAAACAAGCCAGCCACCTGCCCATGCTGTGCCGAACCAGCGGATCCCCACCGCGCTGAAGCGCGCCCAACTGCTCGCTGCGGATCCAATTTGGCCAAAGTGCCAGTTCCAGGCCCAATCACTGCCGAGGAAGAACCTCGCTCGTGGCTGTCTTCGCTCGTGAGTGAAGCGGTGGAGAACCTCATTCATGTATATAACCTAAGAATCCTTCGGCCCTCCATGGCTGGGTCAGACCCTCCATAACAGGGGTCCGGACCCTCAAAACCCTTTATATTCGAGGGCCCGGATTCTTGGGTATTCATATTCAGTAGTTACTAGGACGCTACTAGGGGCTCCTGGCATCGCTACTAGGAGGAAGGACGCTACTAGGGGCTCTTGGCCTTACTATTAGGAGCAAGAACACTACGAGTAACAAGAAACTACTATATTCTTCTTGTGTCTGGTCGCCGAGTCGTGGAGTGAAGCCACTGGACGACCAAACGGCTCTTCGGGTCTTGGCAGCCAGACCCGGTTGCGAGATCCACCATGAGCTGTGGCGGCGCAGAACGAGGTGTGACCGTTGATGAACGCATCCCTGCTGGTCCCCAGAAACGAGCTTCTTGGGTGGTACTGTGATTACATGTGGTGAAAAAGAAAAAACTCATCAGCTTCACAATGAGTTTCACCATACAAAAGGAACCTTTTAAGTACGAACACTGCGCTCCTCCCTTCGTTTCTTTCTTTCGTTTCACCAGAAACGGCGTCCACCGGTGACCGGGTTCCGCACCGGTGTCTTCGATACGGAAACCAAGGAAGCCACGGTCGGTCGAAGGAACCAAGCGATTCCCGGTGCTGCCCAGGTGCTCTCGCATTCCACTGAGGTACATCCGCATACAACTCTCCAAGAGCAAAAAGAAGGCCAAAACACCTGCCGTTCGGACCAAACAGGTGAAAATCCCAAACATCCCTTGTCTGAGAACCACCAAAAAAGAAGCGTCTGAAAAAAAATCCCAGCAAGAGACCCCAAACAGTGTGTGTGTGAGGTCTGTAAGCAGAAAGTCTAGAGATCTGGGGTCCAGAGAGGTGATGGTGGTGATGAAGTGAAGGTGAGTGCGAGTGTGAGTGAGGGTGAGGGTGAGAGTAAGTGCGCGTGAGAGTGAGAGTGTGAGGGAGTGTGAGTGTGAGTGAAGGTGGAAGAGTGAGAGTGTGAGGGAGTGTGAGTGTGAGTGAGAGTAGGAAACTGAGTGAGTGCGAGTGTGAGTGAGAATGAGTGAGTGTGAGTGAGACTGAAGGTGGGTGAGTGAGTGTGAGAGTCGGAGTGAGAGTGAGAGTGAGAGTGAGAATAGTGAGAGTGCGAGAGTGAGTGAGAGTGAGAGTGAGTGTGGGTGAGAGTGAGTGTGGGTGAGTGAGTGTGCGTGTGAGTGTGAGTGCGAGTGTGAGTGAGAGCGGGTGAGAATCTGCGAGTGGGAGAGTGAGTGGGTGTGAGTGTGAGGAGTGTGAGTGTGAGTGGGAGTGGGAGAGTGAGTGAGTGTGTGAGGGAGTGCGAGTGTGAGTGCTGCGAGCCTGCGCAGTCGAAGTGCACATTGACGATGTCGAGAACCATGAATGTACTGGAAATAGCAGCGAATTAGCCGTTCACGGCCGCGCGCTTCAGCGATCTAAGCATCAGCTGCTACCGTAAGAACCCCTCAGTGTGCCCACACTGTTTGGGGAATGAATTGGGGTGGTTACTGTGCCTGCCTCATAGTTCTATACTTTCTTGGTCAAGCGGGTAATCTGCACATCTGCACATCTGCAAACGGAAGAAGAGTTCTTGCGTGTCGTTGAGACCTTTAGGAGCCTGAAGCTTACTGGTTCATGTCAGGCTGTGGGTCTCATGTCCATCTGTGCGGTCTCCTTCGAGCCCATGGGCCAACCCGAGCAGATTGATAGTACTGTCTGGTGGATACGAAGTCTTTGCGGGTCTTTAGGAAGTCCCAAAATGTTCCAAAAGAACATCTTTAATGGTTCACTCATCACTCCCCTGAAGAGTCCCGAAGCCCTTGAAAACGTGGTCGAGAATGTTGATGCACTTGAACCCTCCAAAGTACCTTGGAAAATGGGACATGTGACATTACCCTTTGAAAAAGCAGGTCAGGTGCGTGTCATTTGTACCCATTTTCCGAGGTACTTTTGAGACTCCAGGTAGATCCTATAGCGGTGTTCCAAGATCATTGAAAGGCCAAGCGAAGGGGAAGCTTTCACCTAGCGGATGCTCCTATCCGTACTTCACACAGGAAGATCAGAACCTCTGCGACGGGCTCATCGATATGCAACATGAAGACGGCGCCTTCCATGTACTTCCATCCAGTCCAGTCTTCCCAAGTCCTCCCAGCAGTGCCATGAGCTGGGTCGCTGGGGGTGGCAAAAAGGTACACTGTGGGAAGCCGAATGCTGCTTAAAAGCTTAAAGGGAGTGGAGTCTAAATGCTTGTCTTACTAATACTAGGAAACCATAATTGCTTCCCTAGCCTTACCTATTGTTTGTGAGCGGACTCCTTTCTTCTGGCTGGTGAACATGTGCAAAGTATATATTGTATAACATTTATATATATATATATAGTAGCATCCCACACAATCAGTGGGACATGATCTAAACATTGGGCCGGCCCCATCACCATCAATAGTAGATGACTTTGGGTTGGTAAGGGGTATTTATCCATTTGATATGCTCAGATGTTCAATTACGAGTGACAATGGGTAAAGATATACTCGAATCTGGTGGTGATCTACCATGATCTACCTTGTCCAGCGCACAGGACCTCGGAAAGGACACTACTTGCCTGCTAGAGATGCGCAGCTAGCGGTCCCTTGCCATGGAGGTATGGAGGGAACCCAATCCTGGAAATGAAATTTATGCCCTGGGAGTCCAAAACTAGAGTCTAGAGTTTAAAATGGCTAACCTGCTCTTGTACTTAGTGTAAAATCCCTGGTAAGTAAACAATGGTGGTTCTGGATTCGGACCATTAAAACAATGGTGGTATGATGAATCCCTCCGGGATATACAGAAAACAACTCCTCTGGGCGGATGTCTGTCACTGCATGACACTTCCAGGTTGGACCCGGCACATGAGGGTGTGTATTTTGCATCCGGGAGACGCCCGATCGCCCCTTGACTACACACCCATGTCTTCTTTCAGGGGGTGCTGCCAACGGGCCGGTGAATGCACGTGCGGCGTGTTGCGCCTGTCGGTCTGGAATCCAATCATAATCCCATTCACCTCAGCGGAGGTTCTCAGTGAGGGATCTAACATCATAAAAAGAAAAAAACACCGTAGATAGTAGATATCCCTGTTTGTTGCAGTCTTAGGTTTTCAACAGCACAGTGTGTATATATATATTATATGATATGTATTCACCCGTCTACACATCTAGATTGAAGGTTATATCAAAAAACATTTTTGGTTCTTGGGGTTACAAACTTGCAAATCTTCAAATCCCTCGCTTGAAAACTCGTCACTCAATCTTATCGGAGGCGATAGTGTGGGGAAAACCACTCAAATCTTTCACCGAATTATCATATTGATTCATATTGATTCCATTTCTACACCTGCCTCCCTCCCCAGGTCGCAACTCTGAGTGGCCAAGATCAGGATGGCGACGAAGGGTTCGATGTACCTTGGAAGAGCATGGGCCCATGGCCTGGAACTCTCATCCTGGTCGAGTCTTAGACTGTTGACTGTTCACATGATATGGTTCTGATCACTCCAAGGAATCGGGACAAATACAGACTCCCCAAACTCCGACTCCTTAGACTGAGTGGACCAACTCCAAGGAGTGAACATCCCTCGGACTCCCTCGGCACGCTCGGATCGGTCGATCGGATGCGCCCAGCAGCATGAGTGGGTTGATGGGCTCGGGCGGCGCGGCCAAGTCATTGATGCGGACCTCATGTCGAAAAGGCTGAGTGTCATGGGTAGACCTGGTACCTCTCCTCCTGGGCGGCGGGTGCAAGGGAAGACTCTGCACGATTTAAGGATCTCCGTTAGAGATCTGAATGGTCCAACAGCACCGGCCCCCCGGCAACGACCTCCCGGAAGGTTTGGAGCTACCGTCGTCTTGTTTGGAGAACTCCATACTAAAAAACACGCCCGTTTGTGTCTTCAGCATACATCTGTGAGGCTCAGGAAAATTTTGGGAAGAGAAGTGAGCCTCCCCTCGGGAGTAATCGAGGCTGTGCCAACCACTGACTCTCAGGAGTCTCAAACAGATCTTGCTGTCGGGTACACTTTGGAACAAATGATGTTGGACGGGCAACGGAGAAATCAACGAATCATGTCATGAACTAGTTATCTCAATCAGGTGAGCAAAGTTTTCTGTAACATACTATTATCTTCCAACAACCTGTATATAATGCGAACCACCCCAGGACCCCCGCTGTGAGTGTGATAAACACCCCCGTATGTACTAACCTTTTGCAACATGTTCTCAACATGTTCGAGAGTTGGATTTGAGGGTTGGATGTTGTTTATCTTGGTGGGGGTACCATACAAATATATTGTCTAACCTCCCTTCTGGAACCTGTTTGTTCCACATATATATATAATTATATATATATGTATATATATATAGTACCCACTCCTCTATTTTTACACATGATACGCCATTTACACATGATACAATTCAAATGAACATGAGGGTCCTGGCCGGGAGCTACCTTTCATGCTATTTTAGTAGTATTGGCAGTGTTTTTGGTTGACATATATACATATATGTATTTTCGAAATATGAATGTTGATATGATTTAACTAGTTTTTAGGATACCGGTTGATGTGCACATTGAACAATCTCAGGTTAACTATATTAACAGCATATTAAACATAACATCTCTATAATATGCAATGATGTATGTTGCCCATGAGCACTTGTTCTATCCCTTGAACACCCCAAAAAAAGCAAAACTCTGAGGATGATGTTTGGCTTCGGCCTGAAAGATTAATGTTTGCAGTGTTCATTTAGTTGTTTGCTTGTGGCTTCCTGAAAACAACAAACAATGACTTTTTTGGATATTGAATTGGTCTACACAACCTTGAATCACAAAAAACATCTTGTGTTTTCTTCTTGGTAATTGATGATTGCATAGACATTTTTGATGAAGAAAACCAATAAGCCAAAAAAAGACTCAATGAAACACGAAACCCCCAAAAAACATCTTTCAGACCAAAACAAAATGTTATTATAATCTAAATTGTGTTATTTTTTTTTGGGGGGGGGTTGTTTATGGGTTTGGGTCTCAGTTCAACTTACTATTGCTACCGCAGCTTTTTCGCGAAGGTCCGCAAGCAACACGCTGGCTGCAACAAGTGGGGTAAAAACAAATGACTTTGCAACAACTTCACCAAGAATGTCAAGAACTCGGAAAAGGAGACTGTGAAGAAAACATTGAAAAATACGTTCACAAAATTGCATTTTTCCAGGAACCTTGATTCGTTTGTCACAAGTACTATTGTGTGTGTTTTTTTGAAACCAGCACCCTTGATTTGCGATCTTTCTTTGTTAACTAGCTGTCCCTTCTTAATCTTGATAAATTTCTATTCACTGGCTGTTTTTTTTTTTCAGATTTCTCAAACAAAGCTGATTTGTTTAGGGTTCATTTCGCTGCTCCTGTTCATCCAACGATCTTGAAATAGTTGCCCTCTTTGTTCTTTGATTACTCATACGTTTCAAGGCAGCGCTCAGATCACAGGTAAGGCAGGTCAGGCTTTCTGTTCACCGCATGTCCACAAGACACCAGGCATGTTGCAACCGTTGCGACGGACTCTTTTTGACTCTTTTCGACTCCCGCGAACGACTCCCGCGAACGACTCCGACCCCGTTGGACCGGTGAGACACAAAGGTCAGCTCCGCCACCAGGCGATTGGTGTCCCCTGCCAGTAAGATTTCCTTCATGGCCTCGCGCTCGGGCGGAAGCGAGATTGGAGCCACACCGGTGAAGCATCCAAAGACGCAGGTTGCAGGTTCACCCCTGAGCCAGAAATGAGTGGAACATAGTGGAACATAGTAGGTGACCCGAACTTTCCACCGGTTGGATTTGAGTGGGGAACCCTAATCTACCAGAAAGGTTTAAACAACTTTCAGTCACACACAGCTTTTCATGGGGCTCTGACTTTCAATACAGTATATTACAATATCTGGACCTTCATTTGCAGTTCTGGACAAGGAGCTGCAATCACGGTCAGCAAATCAGGCTAAACACAAAAAGTTA